CTTGTCTGGACTTGTTATGCTGCCTGACCCAGAGGAATGGTACATCTGTGGGTATATATGTGTATCTATAGATATGTACATATATGCATATAAGTATATGTCTGTATTCCCATGTGTGGCTGCTTTCTGAGAGCAGGGAGTGAAAGGGGTGGGTGTTACTGGAGTAATCTTGAAGTTTAATCTATGTAACTGAGCTAGGTAATTTTTAACTTAAAATTTAGTTCCAATGCTCCTTGCCTCAGTCCAATCTGGTAATGGAGATGAGAAGCTAAAGAGTGTTTTTATGGATTTTCTCATTTGTTGTGCTTCATAACCTTGTTGTCAGGGCAGCCCATTCCTTGTGCACGTGCTTTGAATATGGTGTGTCCCAGAAGCCTTTCCTGTACCTGGGCAGAGTGCTGCAGCACATGCACTACACATCTTGAGCTTCCCAGGAGTGCTGAATTTATCCTGTATTTCATGCACAGCTTGCAAGTGCACATTTCCATATGGTAAATCCACCCTCTCTGCCACATCTGAAGACAGAAACATCTAGAAGCAGACAGGTACCACCAGAACAACTCATCCAGTCTGTTCCTACCATCTTTCTTCATTGTTTTGCAGAAGCAGGCAATAAGACTCCAAGTGGGGGGGGCGGAATTTTTCTGCTAAGTGGATCCCACTTGTAGCTGCCTCCTTTGCAAAACAAAGAATGAGTGGATCCCACTTGTAGCTCCTCCTGTCACCCTGTGACTTCAGTATCAATTCTGTATTTGGGAGAGACGACAGGGAGGGGCCCAGGCCAGGATCTCCCTGGGCAAGATGGTGAGCAGATGTGGGTTATTGCCATGAATTTATTCTTAGCTTAAAGCTCTTGAAAATAGCATGAGTGGTTGAAGGCTGGTAATGAGAAAATAACCCTGAAGGTTTTGCTGTAACCTATGGACTGTTGGTTAGAAATCCCCGGTTTTCATAGGGGTCTTTCTCTCTGGGCAGGGTCATGTTTATGCACAATAATTACTTTTATGGCAACATTTGCTTGCTGCACGATTTCCTACACTGCTGCCTGTTGTTTGATTTCTTTTTCACTCACACTCAACTTTTTTTCCTGGTATTCACATTACTGATTATTTTTCTTGGTTCAGATGATACTTGTTTCTATTTGAGATGTGATATGTATATCTTTTTATTTTTTCATCCCAGTGTTTTCAGTTTTTGTAGCTCTTTTCTGTTACATCAAAAGTCAACAGTTTGATTAAGTTCCAACTGTTGTAGCATATGTAGTCTGGCTTCATTATCTCCTGCTGCCTTAAACTGTAATCTCTAAAAAAACTTCCCAACAAGCCTGCCAAGTGTGCATGAGGGGCTGAATGCTGCAGACCTGTGGGAGTTATTTTGATACACTGAGAATGCCCCTCTGGATTTTAGGGATCAGAGAGGACAGTTTGTGTGCCTCTGCACTGGTGCTGACAGGTGGGGGTGTCACTCGTCACTCCGTGCTCCTCAGTGCAGATCTGCTCAGTGTCACCACCTGTGATTCTGAGCAGGAGCCTTCTCCTCTCCCCGTGCTCCAGGCAGATGAGCTGTGCTGCCAACTCCACTGGAGCTTGTGTGGATGTGCACACACACACCCTGTGTGCTGCACAGAGGGCGTGACTGGCTTCTGTGACTACATGGGCTGTGCATGGCAGGTTAGGTAGGATGAATTCTTCCCAAAGGTTCAAAATTCAGTTCAAGATTTGCCAATCCTCTGCTAGGTCCAGGCAGCACAGGAGGACCCAGGTCTGTGCTGCTGTACCTGCTAAGAAACTTTCACTCTGATTTTGCTGCTTCTTTTATCTACTCCTGCCACTAAAGACCTGGCATTGCCTGGTTTGAGAGTCTTCAGATCAGCTGCTTGTCTTTATTTTTCTGTGAACTGCATTAGGGTTCTGGCTTGAAAACACAAGAACTAGGTGAGATAGGATAGAGTGTGCCTCAGTTCTCTTTGTATGAAGAGACAGATCAGAAGGGAGAGGAGCTGCACTGATGCTGCAGTTTTGAGGTAGTGCTCTATCATCAATTAAATAAATGTTTAAAGCAGGCAGAAACAAAACTGAAAGACATTCCTCCAAGCCCTTGCCCTGTACTCACTTTAGGTTTTTTCAATCCAGATGGGTCACTGGCAGTATCTGTAGCACAGCCCAGAAAGCTGCAGGGCTGGAGCTGCAGGGACAGTTTGGTGTAGCCTGAAAGGGGAGTAAGGATGAGTGTGGAATCTCACAGGCCAGCCTTGCTTCTGCAGGGAATGTTCTGTGTGAAAGACAGTGCTCAGACACTGACAAACTAGTAATTCATACTCAGGAAAAGCATCTGAGATTTCCCAGGCTCAGAGAATGTAATAGACTTCAGAAACTGCTAAGGGACGTATGAGAAGACTGAGTAAAGAGAGGTGTGGAAGGGTTGGTGTGCAAGCCACAGGGCACAGGATCCTGCCTGCAAAGGGGTGACCAGACAGAAGCATAGAAAGCACAAATAGGGGCTTGAGGTGTGTTTTCTCTTCTTCCATAAGATTTAGGTGGCATCAAACAGACTTTGGAATTGGCAAGTATAAAACAAAACAATTACCCTTTTTCTGCAGTGCATAATTAACCTTGAGACTTGTTGCTTCAAAATGATGTGTAAGTATCAAGCTTTCTAGTTCATACACATCCATGAGATGATGAGCTAGGGTTATAAGGGTCTGGGCAAGTGACTCTCAAGTGTCAGTATATTCTTGCCCTTCTCTTGCAGTTTTCCCTACGCGTATGAGCTGTCTTGGGCAGCTGAACCTGCAGCCTGACCCAACACAGCTGCTCTTCAGGGGAAAAAAATAGCTGCTGGTAATTGTGTGTTGTTCTGATATCTACTCTAATATATCTGTGCAAACAAATGTTTGAAGTTGATAGTACACCAGCAGTCTGCTCATTAAGCTTTGTCAATATTTGATTTAGTAAATAATTTTTACATTTGGCTACATTTGGTTTTATGTGCCCTGGAGAATTCTGCTGATTTATTGGAATTATTGACACTTCCAGGAACTGGGTCTAAATTCATGATGAAGTAACAGTGAAACATTCTAGATAAGTGGTTTTGTGCTGTTGCTGCTTCATGTTTCCATCACTTGCGTGAAGATTAATTTAAGGCCAAGACTTCCTTTTTTCATTTCTTCTCAGCAGCAGATGGACCTCTTCCTAAGATTGCTTCTCCCACTGTGCATGCATGTGTGCATTGGTAGAGAAAATATCTAAAAACTCAGTTTTCTGGCAGTTGAATGTTCAGAGAGTCATGCTGATTGTTGAATAACATGGTAATACTGATAGGCTCATCCTGGCTTGGGTTAAGAAGAGTGTGGTGATCTGGGTGAAACAGGGAGTGTTTTGGCTCAGCTCACAGATTCATGTCTTGTTCCTTTAGAGCTGTGCTCCTCCCTGCTCTTCCACACTTGCTAAGGTCCCACTGGCAACCAGGAGAGTGCACTTAGAAACTGCAGGGCTTTTTTTTCAAGATGCTGTCCTTTTTATCTACTGATCTAGAAAGAGGCAACATTTTTCTAAGAAGTTGAGTTGTTTAGACTTTGTCTTTCCTATTCCTTCTTTTCAGTTGGAAGCTGGTTATGTGGGGATGGTGAGTGGGGTGTGTGTCTGTGTTGAGGGTTTTAAAAATTAATTTGGTAGAAATTCAGTGTAAACCTGAACCCTCCAAGACAAAATAATCTGTTTGCAAGGTGTGGTCTGATAGCATAATCAATCTTCTCTTAATAAATGCTACCACATGTGTGGAACAGTAAAGATTGTTTTTTTCTCATAAAATAATTAAAACATACTATTTAGTTACAATAAATACACAATTCTTTACCTTCAGTCTTTATTAACTGAGAAGTTGGAATACTGTATTTTAGTGACGTGAGAGGAAGCCATGCTGTCTTCCTTCAGCATGAAGCACACAAGCTTCTTTCTTTTCTAGAACAGTTTTAAAGCATTTCCATAGTTATTTTGTTTGCTTTGCCCTCTTTGCTTCATTTTACCTGCATCTGGAGTTTTAAAAATCATAGGTTGCTCAGCTCTGTGCTCAAGAGCTGTGGGGTGGGGTGTTCCCATGGGCAGCAGCCACAGCCTTTGCTATTGGACCTCTCAGTGTTCCTTCACCTCATCTATATCTGCTATTAACTCTTCCTGATGCTGTGACTGCACTTTTATGTTGACTGGCAAAATCAGTTTAGTGTCCTTTCTCATCTAGCTTCTGAGGCACATTTTGTGTCCCCAGTAATTCCTAGATGACAAAGGACAAGGTTTGTGACACCTGTGTGCTTTGTGTCCCCTCCCTCTGTCATCCCTGCTGCTGACTCTGCTGCCATCAGTGAGTAATGAAGGATCTCGTGGCTACTTGTATCTGTGAGAGCAGCTTGTATCTGGTACTTAGCTTCATGCCCTGTGATTTAGGTGACTTATTGACTCCCAAACCGTGTGAGACCAACTTATGTGTGTTATATTTATTTACAAATAATTCCTCATTGCATCCTGTCTTCCTGAACTATGTCCAGTGTTTGAGTGACTGAAACATTGCTTTGGGCTTTAGACATTCTGAGATGTTTGCTATACAAGAGCATAGACTCAGTTTTTATCCCAGGGTGTTGTCCTCATGAGTTTTCTGGGAATATGTGTTGGTTGTTCTGAATGGAATCACAGTGTCTGTTTTTTCAACACAATTTTGAAATGGAATAAATACTACAAGTGGAGTTTTGAGGAATTGCAATAATTTCAATTTTAACCTGTGTTTATACAATTATAATACCAGGAAACAATGCATCTAGTTCTGTTCTCTAACAATATTTGTTCTGTCTCCACCCTGAGAGAAGGTGTTTAGATTTCTGAATGTGTACACATGTATAATTATGCAAAATAAATGCTGAGTTATACAATGATATTCTGAAAAGCATGTCATTTGCCTTTAATAAAATACTTTTGAAGAGTCTCTGATAAGTATTCTTTTTTCTTTGACAGTCTGTGGTGGACGACTGGATTGAATCATATAAACAAGACAGGGACATAGCACTTCTGGATTTAATCAACTTCTTTATCCAGTGTTCAGGATGTCGAGGTACAGAATGTTGGGAACAAGTTGTATAGAATAAATCTGACAGTTGTGGAACCGTGTGTGTTGATGTAAATGCTGGGAAAAATGTGGGAGGCACATGGATTGGTACTCCTTCTTTGCATGGTTTGTATGGAAATATTGTCACCTTCAGGAATAATGTTATTTAAAGCTTGCTTGTGAAGGGCCTACCCTTTCTCTTTCTCACTTTCCTGTCATCATCCTCGAGTGTACAGATCCTCACAGAGACACAACTCGTCAGCCAAAGGAGACAAAAGATCTGTTAGTCAAGGTAGGCCTGTCTTTACTTCCCCTTTCTGTTTCTTCCTGGTTTTTTAATTACAAGATTTAGGAGGTGCAGCTCTACCTTAACTTTGTTTGTTGTTTTTTTTTTCTAGGAAAATGGTGGTTTTTTTAAAACTGAAGAGGAAGGGGCCAGGCTTCAGTTGTCTTCAGTTAGCAAGAAAAGTTTCTTCTGGATGAAGCACCAGTCTCATTTCTCCTCTGTAATGCTTTATCAAGTCAGCAGCAAGTGGCCTGCCTTTTGTACCCCATTTGAGCAGCCTCCATTACCAGGCAGTCTGTTGCCACTCTGTACCTTCTAATGAATTTTTCATGTGTTGCCTTTTTTCAGTTGACTCAGCCTTCAGAAGAAAGACAGAGCTCTACTCTGTAGCACCCAGAACCAATCTATTTACTGTCTCCTGATGCTTCGTATAATTTAATTGGAGTAGACTTGAAAATAACCCACAATTCAGAAATTCTTTTTCTTCATTCTGTAACTGATAAGGGAATATACCTTTAGACATCCAAAGATCTGGGTAGAAGTTCCTTTTCTTCCTTCTTACGTATAAGGAGAAGTCCCAAATACAATTAAAGGCATCTGAGAAAAGAAACACAAGCTGTCAGCAGCTTCAGCAACCTGTTTTCATAGCTTGAAGAAATAAACTAATTTTTTGGATGACAGGAAAGACTGGAGCTCTGGGAGCATTCTGTGAGGGGGCTGAGGCTCAGGGTTTGGATGAGCAGCCCGTATTAATCATAGATAAATCATAGAATCATCCTGGTTGGAAGGGAACTGGAAGATCATCAAGTCCAACCATAACCTAAATCCCCCTGCCATAACCTACTTTACCCGTTCAGTGCTTAAATCATGTCTCTAAGCACTTTATCTGTGTTCATGGAATTTTTTTATTAGTGTCTGTGCTGTTCACACAGGTTCCCTAAAATATTTTTCAGAGACTTGTTTGGCAGCTTATGCCAAAGTAGTTGTATTCTGTTTGCTTTTTGTAGCACTCTCCTGAAGGTGTGTATGGAAAAACCTCATCCATAAGCTTCTTCCTAAGATTTTGGGCAGCTTTAAAACAAAGGCATCCATGGCCAGATGTTTTATTCTTGTTGATGCAGACTTTTGGTAGAGGCATGTCATAAATGCATCTTAATTCCCCTGCTTCTCTCATTTCTACTGCCTTTCTTTCTCCTTGTCAGAGAAAGCAAATAAAAACCTTAAAATCTCCCAAGGTGCCTATTTTTTAAACCTCTAGTTACTGAGTGAGGTGGGCTGAGTGCCCACTGCTGCTGAGGCCATTGCTTCCCACAACAGCCTCCTGCCATAGGCTGGGAAGCAGCAGTGCTTCCAGTGGCTGATGTCATTTACTTTCTTCTTTTAATTTCTGTTTTTAATGGGGACTTCCTGCCCATTTTCAGTACTCTGCTTGGTACCCTCAGGGATGTCTCTTTGCTGAGCTTACTTTAGTGGCCCTCTGGTCCCAAACAGCAACAACAGGAGAGGGAATGCAAAAAAACTTATCCCCTGAGTTGGTAGAGTGCTTGGGGGCTTTATTTCTGTGTTGGAATGTTTGCAGTGGGTTCAGAGCTGTAAGCAGGGGTAAAATCCTGGCAGACAGGCTGTTCCTGGCTGTTCCTTCCAGCTTCCAGGAACATGTCTGTTTTCTAGAAAACGTAAAAGCTTGATCAGAAACTGATACCCATATGGGGTAAAACATATAAATGGAGGTGAGGTATGGAAAGCTGGGCATTTCCTGTGTTCTGTGAGGAAGGCCAAGTTTCTTTTTCATGAGATTATATACTCTATTGTGATGGTTTATTTCCCTTGAAAGATTTTGTTGACATTCCTGTTTGTTTCTATTTTTGATAAATAACAAGTCCTCCTGAATCTCAATGGCTGCTCAATCTTCCTTAATATTCCTTCATTTTCCTCTTTTCAGTTTGCTCCAACACTGTCTCACATGTTCCAGCCTTCTTTCCCAGTGTTGGAGCCAAATGCTTACTGATAATGTATCTTAACATTGTGATCATTAACTTGAAGGGAGGAGGACAACTAACTTGGGAGGAGGTTCCTCAGGAGATTTTGAAAGTGATGCTGAATTTATAAATCTACCATTTAATAGTGCTTAGAATTATTTGCTATCTAAATATACACAAAAACCATTAGCATGACATTTATTTCAAAAGTTTTAAGCAGGTGAAGAGTGTGTGCATGTTTTCTGGCTTTAATTAGAAATTTTTTAGGCACCAAACTGCTTTATTTAGCAACAATATTGACTCGGACAAGAGTATCTTTCTGCTTAGGGAAACATTGATTTTTACATATTTCTCCCATTCTCTTGGGCAGCACATACACTGGAATGAGCCTCTTAGCATCCCCCAGCTTTGCGTGGAGATGTTCCTGAAATGAGAAGTGAGCACTTGTAAATATGAATAAGCAGACATGCTATGTAAAGAATAAATAATAAAATTGTAGTTTAATTTAAAAGTTTAATGTATTTTGCAGGCAAACTTTAAAAATGTGTGCAAGTTAAAATTGAATAAATGTAAACCAGATTTTCAAGCACCTCTGTCCTTGGTCGGCTCTTCTGAGTATCTGTGTAATTGGTTCCTTTGTGTACAGTGTGTTCTGGTTCATACAATGATGTCCATTAAAAGATGAGAGATTTGGTTTTTAGCATGACTTCAGTCATCTTTCTGGGATTTTAAAGGATCATTTGGTATAAATTAGAAGTTAGTCCTATTGCACTAGCAAAAGCAGCTCAATTCAATGATGAGATTTGCACAGAAGTGAAATCACTTTTCATGCCATCTTTCCTCTGTGGTTTGCCTGCTCAGTCTCTGTTTTTGTTGCCTTTGCTGATTTTGGTTACAAAAAAGTGAAAATAGTTTCTTAAAGAATTTTTCCTTGATCTTGCTCTTTTTTTTTTTCTTCAAGAACACCAGCAAAAATCCCTGCTTTTCACCCTTTGTCTGGGTACTCTTCTCCATGATGTTATGTTGTGTTTCTGCAGCAGAAAATATGTCTGTCAAGGACTGATAAATTCACCTGTTCACTTCTTTTTTTTCTACCTTTGAAAATACATTACTTCTTCTGGAGGGGGGGTCCTGGATCAGTTAGTACCTAAGATAGATGAAAAAGTTTGAAGATAGTTTTCTTCCTAAAAAATCCCAGCAAATAAATGCTGTTCCCAGTCCCTGAAAAAGCCGGGTGGGTTTGTTGGTGGTAGATGTTTGTGTTCCACATTATATACAGTCTGTCAAGCAGGTGATGTTGTATTTATTTCTTACTTCTCTGTCAGGAGCTTCATTTAGGGGGTTGCATTTTTAGATGAGAAGGAACATTTTGAATTTAGGTTGTCATCATGGTTTTTGAAGTAACTGTCACTGGCTGGGTTGGCAGTGTGTCCCTGCTCCTGAGACTTCCCCTGGCCATGTTGTAGCTCGGTGTGTGGCTCCACATCCTCCTCTCCTGCAGACACCTGCAGGTCGGTGCTCAAAGTTGCTTGGGGTTTTTTTTGAGGGCTCTTTTCTATCGCTTCCTTCTTTGCAGGAACATATTTTTGCTTTGTTGCCCCTTTTTTTCCTTTCTTGTTTGAACTCTTACCTGAAGCACAGTGCTGAGATCTGAGCTGGCTGCAAGCAAACTGAGATGTCTGATCAGCAATTGGTGTGCCCGGGCCCTGGAGGATTGTAACTGTGTCAGTATGAGGCTGCATCCAAGCTAATTAGCTCTGCCTCTCAGACTGAGTAATTAGCTCAGGTATCATTCTCTGCTGCCAGGGCAACCACGCTGTTTCCATTTCTGGAGCTCCATGGATTTGTAGCTGCTGTAGGTGCTGCATGGCTGCCTGCGTTGCCTTCTGCTGCTGGTGTGCAGCAAACAAACTCCACATGCCCTCTGACCTTCCTGCAGTTGAAGGGGCAGAGCTGTGCCTGTGGAATAAATATTTTCTTTTCTTAACCAGAAGCAATTAGTGGTTGAAGCAGCCTCTTACGCTGCCAAGGACAGAACAAACCCTCGAGTCCACGTAAGAAAAGAAGCTTTATTTTGCAGGGAAAAATGGTCTCTTGCGTAGTCAAAGAGGAGAACTACTTGTCTGCTTTCAAGTATAGAGTGAAATTACTCCTGTTCTTTCTCTCCAATCCCTCTCTTTTCCTCTCCTTTATTTTCTGATGGGTAAGCCAGAAACTTGTAAATTCCTAAGCAGATTTTCAGGATTGGTTTGAGCACTGGTCTCACTGCTGGCCTTACCTCTGCAAAGATCTGGGACACCAGTTACGGAGAAAACAAACTGGTGGAACTCCCTGGCTGTTAAATTCCCAGCAGTGCTGCAGCCTCCTCTGGATTGTGAGGGGCTCTCTGTTTAAGCAGTTCTGTGAGTTAGCACACTGAAGTTGTTTTTAGGAGTAGCTGGTGAAGGAAGCAGGTGAATTTCCTTTGTAAGATGTTTTTCATCTTATTTTTTCCCCTCAAAATCTTCTCTTTAGATTCTTGTGTGGAATCAAACGTTGATGAACAGGTGTTCAAACTGCCCCTGCCAGCCTTGATGACTGGTGCTGGTTAGGGCTGAGGTCTGGCAGTTGTGAGTAACCAGGAACTGTGGAGGAACTTTGCTTCAAGTGGGAGATCTTGATGGCATTTTTACTTGTGAATCAGACACTTGGGGATCCACGCTGTCTTCCAGCTTGAGCCTTAAATCTGTAGTTATTCCTCA